AACATACACTAAATATTACCCTGTTTCTCTGGGAACACGACTCCCTCTTCTTTGCAAGTTTTCTACGTTTTTCTCATTTAAATCGATGTAGAAAGTACATGTATACCTTTCAGAACTTACAGAGACTTATGCTCCTTAAAAAGAATTCATCAAATGTATTAATACATTGAACATCACCTAAAATGAAATAAAATAAATATGACCATAAAATAGTCCAGCCTCATTCGGAACGATTTGGTTAATGCAGACGTGTTCTCTTGACCAGATTTGTCAGTATAAGCAATGCACTTTACTTCTCCGCATGAAGAAAATGTCTTTTCCTGAAAGATTACAAACTGCGAGTAGTGTTTTCCGAGCCCCAAGGCGGCAACTTTGGAGGAACGCTCCATAATTAAGAGTGAGGACTGGAGAACAGTCAAGTGTTTACCCTTTTGCAAAGGGGGAGGGGCAGGAAGGCTTTGGAATATGTTACCATGGAGATGTGACGACAAGCTGAACGTTTAGTAATCACATTGATGTATATTATCGTTTAAAAAAGGTAAGGGTTATATCATAACAAGTTTTAGTTTTAATTGTAATAAAGGATATTTGAGAGAGAGAAGGAAGTACAGAAAAGATGGCAGAAAAATATTTCCATTTTTATACACTAGGTAATTAATATTGGAATATTCTTATTTGTGTTGGTCAGTTGTCTCATACTTAAGTTGGGTGTACATGTAGTTTGGTGAATAAATATTTATTCCTCGCAGATGAAAATACATTAACATCATCATTAGTATCATCACAAGAGATTTACAGAACTAATATTAGAAGCTTTGGAACAAAATGCGTTCCATGTATTTGGTGTACATCGATGAGCACAACAACAAGGACAATTTTATAATTTTCACAGGCTTTCCCCATCACCAGGAGGTTGTCTCCAAATATCCGCAACTTTCATCTTTACATATCATTGGCGTTGGCACTTTGTGATATAAAAGAACCTTGTATTGTGTACAACGTGACTTATTTCAATGGTTGGAATCCCGAATCACATAGGCAAGGAAATTCCAACCACCCCTCCCCCATTTCCGGCAAAGAGAACGTATAGAAGGCTACTTTTGTCCTCGAAACATTTGTTTTTGGAATATCTTTTCGGGGTTTCCTTTTTTTTTTACTCGTTCCTTCCCCTTTATGTTCCAGCGAGAACTATCGTCGGAAATGTTCGCCCCTACTTCTGAAAATTCCTGATCCGCCTCTGCTCAGAAGATGGTGAACTTCACCTCGGATGAGATATATGTTTTTGATCTTCACCTAAGGTTTTCAAATCATGATGTTTTTTCTTATCGCAATTGTCTCCTCTACTGGTCCCCAGCATGTGATCATGGCTGTTATCAAATATTCATGGTTATCACCATAAAGCTTATCTTACTTAAACTTAAACCTTACTCACTCAATCGAGACTGTACGAATCACATAACAACCGTCCACATCTCATTTCCTTTTCTTCAAATCAAATCGGTTCATTATATATATATATATATATATATATATATCGTCTCTTGTATTGTGCTTTTCAGAGCAAAGCAATGGATTATAGTTCCACATACATAGCGATGATTCTTTTGACGAATAGGGAATGAACCTGAGCAATCTTTTAAAATCACATGCAGTGATTTATGACGGAGTTGAGAAGTAAAATGAGTACGAGATGAGTACTAAACATATTAGTCTAGAGACGTTAAAAATACCCGAAATCCCATATGGTGTTATTGTTTGAGGCCCATAATTACCCTGAGTCTTTATAATCAACCATCAGTATTTGCATGGACAAAATAATAATCTTCTTCTTTTTTTTGTATTCCGAGGATTTGCCCCTACTCTGTCCCTTTACATTAACAGCTTTTCAGGTGAAACAAAATACCGGCTCTAAAACACGCATTTGTAAAAATGTACCATTCATAAAATCACAGTCGTTAAGTTAAACTAAACATATTTTTACATTCTTTTTGTTAGAGAATATTGATATATATAAGTTGCCCGGAAAATTGATTATATAAAAATAGATTTTAATTCAAGGAAGTTAATAATTTAGATAAATCTTTTGTCAAAAATAAACTACGACCTTACTGATACATTATACATATTATAAAATGTCGAAATAGTTGGTAGTTGTAACGACTCCCATTTATCATTGACATTGTCAGATGAGCCAATTATTCATTCCATCTGGTGCAGTTGACGAACGCATTATCTTCTATAATCCTAATGATTCTTAATAACATTATCACGAATGTTATCACAATATAACGTCTACATTGAGTATTTGGGAAATTTGAAACTCAGTCTTCAACAGTGAATAGTAATACGACAAAAAGAGACACATGGTTGATTGTCAATACAGCTTAGAATGGATTACATTTTTCGCAACTTAAAACTATATATGAAGTAACATTTGGTTGAACAATTTTCAGCATTTCATTTCAATCAAATTCAAAATGATAATCATAAATAGATCATTTCGGCATATCTAAGTTAAATTATACTCAATTTACTTTTTTTATAGAAAATAATGAACATTTACAGTTAACATTTATTGACTTTACGTTTGAAAAATATGAATATGACTTAGAAGTGAAAAAAACACAACATTACTGTTAGTTATATTGTTAAATTCTGCCTCCTAGACTAATGAACCAATCGTCGTAATTTTTAACTCACCACATATGTTACTATGTAACTACATATGAAGAAACACTCCTTTTATTCAAAAGTTTAACGATAGGGGCATTTACATGCAAACTTATTTGTGAGATTTAAAATTTGATATTATTATTTTTGTTCCAATCGATATGAAAATCTCGGGTTTTTTTATGCTTGTAAATCCAATAATCTCACTAAATAATAAGATTCTGCTGGCCGCGATCTTAATGTCACTATGTTAAACGCTTTCTGGTTGTCACGGAGGCTGTAAATAAATGGTAATCTACACTATTTTAGTATTTTACAAATGAAATAAACAAATTGATTCCTGCATGCCATCACAATGATCTGCACAAGATGTAAACACACTATAAAAAATATAGCGCTATGCGCAGTAATGTTACAGCGTTTACCTACTACTTATGGATCCATATCACTTACGATGTAAATAGTGAAACAAAATAATAAACAAATCGATTGATTGCTGATATTTCCGCATCTGCATTCTCTTTATTTACATTTGAGATACTAATGTAAATCATCATGTTTGTCTAATTCAAATGAATGAGAAGAGTATGAACCTGACGCACACAGGCCTAAGGCTGGGTGTGTGTGCGTGTGCGTGCGTGTGGGTGTATGTGTTTGTTTGTTTGTGAGGGTGTGGTTGTGTGTGTGTGTCTTATATTAACAAACCAAATAGAATCGTAGTTAAAGTTTAGACATGATCAGATCATTAAAAATATGCAATTCTCGGCCCAAGTACTTTGTTTATACTTTTACACAAACACATTTGTTTTGGTCAGACAGGCGTCATAGTGACATCATGAGTAAGTAATCATAACTTGTTATGTTTGATTGTAACATCACTTGACTTTCTTCGATATTGTTCTTGAAGCTATTACCAGAAACGCGCGTAATAAATAAATTGGATTATTAGGATCAATTGTTAATGACGAAGGTGACCTAGATTATAATACAGACGATTAAAAATAGATATTCACATAATACAGTCTTTATATAATTTTGTGTGATAACAAAATATATTACTTTTCCATTGGCGCTCGTAATATTCTCAATACAGATGAACTCATTTTGAGATACTGAATAAAGTGCAGGTGATGACATGTTAGTAAAACGGTATATCAATCAAGCGAAGAGATAGTGCTTATTTTATTTCAGTTGAAGAATAAGTACACCCTGCAACAAGTTGATTCGAACAAAAATCCTGACCAATATAAGTTTTTTAGAAATTAAACTAGAGTAAGAGATTTGTACAGTTTTGCAGTCGTGAAAGTCACAATATTTCGTGACAAAATTGCAATAATTGATGACTGCTTATGTGAACTACTCTCGATATTTTTGTTTACACAAGATTACACGCAGTTTTGCAAACAAAAATATTTTCTGTTGTATGCGTTCGTGAAATTAGAGAAAATTTAACCAATTCTTACATGTCCATTTCCTTTAAAAATGGCGTGAAAGTCGATCAATCAAAAGGGAACAATTGACAAAATATATTTAAAAAATCTGTTTTTAGAAAACAAGTGGGCTTTCAAACACCTTGAATAAAACCGACCCAAAGATGACATTTTTCCATAAAAGAGCGGGAGGGTTTGGTAACGAATAATAATAATTATATTTGCTTATATAGCGCCTAACACTTACTTTATCAGAAGTCTCTAAGAGCTCTACAATAATGCAGCATAATTACCCTGGCTTTAGCAGTGCAGCTGTTACGAATCAGACCTTATGTTATCGCCATCTAACTTAAAGAAATCTGTCAAAATTCAAATAATATGAAAATTCATTTGATTAGCGTTATTCGTTATTCATTGTTATATGAAGACTGAAAGCGACGGTTTACAAGAAATTAATTAAAACAATTACTAATTTCTGTTTTTCAAATTGGGGACAAAACCAACACACACAAATAAATTTACATTCAAATTCCCTTTTACGGAGCACATCTTTTATTTTAATTTGCACAAAATATTCAAAACAAGTGTGTATTTAACGGACAAATCTTAGCTAACAATCTTCCAAATTGTATGTCACATGAAGTAAAAGGTAAATGGTGTTGTGTAATATGTATGAACATAATCATATACATCATTATCATCGCATATCGGTATATAGCGGGAATTATCAATCTTTCACGAGAAGAGAGAGAGAGAGGAGGTGGGAGAGAGTAATAGGAAGAATTCGAACTGACGTCACACCACCGTCATACTTCCTTACAAGTATCAACCAATTAGAGTCGAGCATACGAGACAGTGGAGGAGTTAAAAACCAGCTATTAGATGGAATCCGACATTACAAGTGAGCGGGTTGTAAGACGGAGTAGCATCAGTTCGCGACGCACATCAGTTTACGCAGTTCTTACATTTTTATTCTTCTCTTGATTGGCACAGGAACAAAAAGCTCAGCAATTTGAAGTCGAATCCAACAGCAGAGGAAAGACCGAAACCTCGAGAAAAGTGTTTGAACACTCTGGGTGACCCCTTGTAAGACACAGAGAGAGAAAGCGGAGAAAAGAGGACAAAATGTCACCGGATTTCAGATACATTTTTCTCTCGATCTTTTTGGTCGTCCTTGTCTCACATACCACATTTGGTAAGTTTTGTTTTCTGCATTAAAATCTTAAATCAAATGTGATATTACTCATTATTTAATTACAAGAAACATTTCGTCAAAGGCCAATTCGATGTGAATGTTGGACGTCTGACTGGGCTGGTGTATTGCTTCGATAAAAATGTGGTCTTCTGGCGTAAGGTCTTAAACTAAACGCATTAAAAGAGAAGCGATTTAATTGAGTCCTATAACTTGCATTCTATACATAAAAACTGATGAAAAATATCAGAATAAAGTTGAATAGATTGCAACTGACAATTTTTAATGGACAATGGCTATCTTAGTTTCGCATACACCGAATATATCGATGCTATTGTGAAGAATGATTGGTTGCTTTGTCAGAATGTTTCTATTACACAATATAACATGCTTTTATGGAACCTGCGTTGTGTATTAACGCGTCCCTCCCTTGTTCATAGACGCAGGATATTTGGTTAAAGTGGTAAGCGATCCGTCTCTGGGATAGGATGTTAAATGGAGGCCTCATGTAGAGGAGAGTGCGAAGTGAGTATGGCGAAGTCTGGGTGTAGTGCATATCCCAATCATTCACACCGGGAGGAAAGAACCGAGGGTTACGTCTCCAGTGGTTTCCCTCTCAGGCACAGTGACGCCAAACATAAGCAATACTAATAATACAAAGAAGAATAAATAATACAAGTAGAATGAAGTACCGCTTCAGGTATGGGCTTTTGATGAGAGAACATATTTTGTAGTAAAGATGAATTAATACTTATAATACAATCTTTATATGAATTTTCAAAATACAGATCAAGTCAACGCAATCTTCTTTCACCTTGCACTTTGTTTCGTCATGTATTTGTATGGAATAACTAGCTTGGGTAAAATGTGAAGTCGTTCTCATGTTCATTATTAAAAAATGAGTCTTCATAACTTGTATTATATCAATGTTATAATCGTAAGAAGGAACATTCAAGTAAAAATATATGTTATGATAACATGTTGCATGCTCTTAAAAGATAAACATATTTGGTATCAGTTGGAGCACATACATAAGGGGATTCGTGGTTTGAGCTTAAAGCAGTTCCGATATCTCAAGGCATTGAATCTAACTTTGGAGTTTTTTCTTGTTGCTTCCAACAAGTCAGTTATACTGATAGTTTTAATCAAGACATGTACAAAATAATGATTTATAAAAAGTACTTTGCACTAAATATAGCGCAGTTGTTATATATGTATTTTGATATGAATGACTTTAATTATCATTTTCGTTTCCTCGAAACAAAAAAGTATAAACTGGGAAGGTATACTTTTAAAAATTGACAGATAAAACCAAACATCGGTGAACATGTTCATGAAATGCAAATAATACTTGACTTGTGTATAAATGCTCCAGATGGTATTCTAAAAAATATGTATCATAAAATTAATTTGTTGACAATTTATAAAAACAGAAGGTTTATCATTATCATGGGTAAAAGGATCCAGATTTCCATGTTTTGTGATTCTAAAGTAGACAAACGATCAAACTTAAACAATGGGTAGAAGTTATTTGCTTTCGTGATTCTAAATGATAAAGTATTATTTCAAAGGAAATAAATTTGTAGTAATTAGATTATAGGGCTTTATTCAGATGTTTCTAGATATGATTTGTTGTTGTTTGGGGGGGGGGGGGGGTTAAGATAAGGATTCTGGAAACGTTTCCAGATCAAATTTTCAAATCGGTTCATCGATTGCATTATAATATATATGAAAAGATGTTTGAACAATTGAACGAATGTAAGGAGAGATTTCGATGGGCCAGCTGAATCAATAAACATTTCATAATTTCTTTTTCTTTTTTTTTATGACGAAGACAGCAAATTCTGTTTCATACCAAATTAATGTCATCTTGAAATGATCATGATTCAATTGATATCGTGGTTACTCTTCATCAAAACTAATAATTGGATGTAAATATGTTCCTGTTAATTTGCGAGTTCTTACATTTAAGTTTGTTACATTAAAAAAAGTTACTGTTAAGGAACCATGGCAAAGAACGATACCTCATTGAGTGAGAATTCTGCCACCATAAGGCTGATGATACTTCAAGTTGATGATGGCAAGTTTCCTCCCATTTCCTTTTCTAGTCCAATCTTGAGATGACACTCGGGGACTACATTTGAAATTACACTTGACAGAGCTAGACCCTTGGTATAAGTACCCATCTAATCTCTTACTGTAAATGCAAATCCCCCATTCCTTCTGATTGTGTCACTCTGTGCCGACCCTGTAGTATTTACTGTCCCTACTCATAACACTCGTATCAACTCTCTCAGGACCTATAAATCGATACATCACTTCATTCATCCGGCTACAGAAGAGCCCATATCACGAGAAGATGCAGCTGAAAATAGCCAGTCGCAAGATTTAGTAAATATCGACGAGAAAACAAAAAGGTCATAACTATATTTCAGGAACCTTCTGAGTAGATAGATGTTGGTCGGAAAGCCCGCACGCGAGCCAGGAGTACTTCAATCTCCAGAATTGCAAAATAATTAAATTCTAGGGATAAAATCTGCTGAAGGCTGTGCATGGCAGAACATCAGAATGATGACTGACAGGAGGACACTTATGGTGGAGGAGATGAAAAATGAAATAATTCAAACTGCCAATTATTGACAAATTGAGATGGGACCGTTTGATATTTCCATACTGACATGTCGTTTTTCGTCAGCGCAATTCATCAATTTTCACGCTCAAAAACATATTTCTCAGCTTCTATAAAAAGCCTAGAGAAGTAGTAAGTAATAGAAAGATTCAGAAATGTTTGTTCAAAATCATCAATAAAAACAATCCAAGAATAAAATCGCAATAGCTTTCAATCCTACCAAATTGATAAAATAAATTGTACTAATGTCATTTCATTTTAATCAAGTATCTTAATCATTAATATTTACATTAGCCATGGATGTTAGCCGCTCTCACAAAATGTGATTTAATTGAAGTTTCGTACTATTCTATTCTTGGCTTTCTGGAAAACAAACATATTACAACTCTCGTTTCATTTAATCTATCGAAAATAATGGTAAAGGAGTAGACAACCAATGTCTACAATTTATTGAAGTTTCCTAGAAAGTCTGCTTTTTTTCTACGTTTTCGAAAATATATCAAAAATTCTCTAACTATTTACCGATTGACAATAATCGATTTTAAGCCTCTTTTCGTTTATCGTAAATCAACGTATCTCATTCTTAAGTGCTATATAATATGCTATTGTAAATATCACCTCTTATATTTGGCAGATTTAGTTTGTTCATTCTGTACATTTCTTGTAGGACAGATATATAACGAATGGCAAACTGCTTTTCCTTCAAAGTTATCACAATGGTAGACCCAATTGAGGACTTTACATACAAAACTTTTCAATGTCCTTCGCATAAAGTGACGTCATCTAGGCGCCATTTTGTGAATTTCGCATACCTCTTTATATCTCTACAATCAAATGGCATAATAATTTTATATTTCATGTCATGAAACTTCAATTTATTGCGGATCATAACAACATATCAAACACGCACGTCAGCCCGACATCGCGCATAATTAATAAAAAAAGGTTAAAATCATTTCATGTTCAACCCCATTTTAAACTTTAGTTTGTTTTTTGTTTTTTGTGTGCACTCGTGTTTGTCCGTGCATCCGCTTCATAAAAGCTATAAAAAAAACTCGGGGGTTTCACATAACTTAGGTTCTTGATCCTATTCTTGGTCAGTTCTAACTTATTGCTAGACCCTTTTGACCATTCAATGCCAATAAGTGCACGTAAAAACTCGAAATGCCATCGCGGGAATTTTGCTAAAAATGGCAAAAAAAATTGTATAATCTAAAAACTAGATACCTTCGAATCAAAGATATTTCAACCTCACAATTAACATCAAATACTCCACTTTTGAAATTTGGTTAGACGTGGTGACGTGGAGCGCAACCGGGATCTGAACCTTCGAATTCGTTACGTCATAAACTCAATTGTCTGTTACTAAAAATGCCCGTTCTCTTTGGAGCTACTTCCGATGAAATAGAGATACTGTGTGCCACTATAACAGGGTTGAACCTTGATTTCTATGGTGGTGAAATCTTTGACATACAACACTGTCAAAGACCACACTCACACCGGAGGAGGTGTATATTTTTCATGCAATGCAGATATGCGACTTTTTATGGAATCAATTAACTTTACCAAATTATGAAGGCAATTAAGCTCCTTTTTGGTGTATGCTATAGTCCCCATCATAATAATGCTACCTTCGATGATGCACTAAATAATTCCTTGATCTTATCTCCCCCCCCCCCCCACATACTTATACCTCCTTCCTGATCAATTATCTTATGCGGTGATTTCAATATTCAACTCCCAATCTGCGATCATGAATCCTTGTCATCATCATCATCTTTCAATATAAATACTTGAGATATCATTGCCCTCTCACATCATCCATGGGAATGACACATCTTGTTTCATTTCTTACTATACAACAGGCAATGCTTGACCTAGTATTTTGTGATAATTTAGACCTTTTTTTTAATCCTCAAAGCAGTTCAGGAATTGGCAACAATGTGTTACAATTTACTTTGTATTTGACCGTTACGGTAGTCGAATACTTCCAAGGGTATTACATCAATTCACAAAGTCAAAGCGAATAGTCTGAACCTTCAACAAACGATTGAATGTGTTCCAAGGAATCCGATTGTTGATGAAGGGAGCGTTGACAACACATACTTCACACTTGTGTTGCAGACATCGATCAAAGATGTTGTCCCCATGGTCGTCGTCGAGCATTATGGATAACTCAGGAAATAGCTAGAATTTCCAAACGAAAGAGGAGAGCTTACAGGAAATCAAAGAAAAAAGATAGTGATATAGACATAAAGAGAAAAGAAGAAATGTGGTCAAGGTATCGAGAGATCTCGAGAGAAGTAAAAGGTATGACAAAAAAGTCATACAATGATTATCTTCATTAAAATGTAGCATTTACTCATTATGGTAC